GATGGCGGCACCGATTGGTTTCGGACCCATCTTGAGTCGACGAGCTCTATATTGTAGAGTCATTGTTGATGTTGACATTTACAATTGTCGATTGTGTTGACGATGGACCTCCGATGGGTCTGCAACTAGTCGGTGCTAGAAAATAGTTATAATAATGTCTTACGAAAGTTTAAACAGACTCAGTTTTGATTATAACGTAACAATGACCTAACATAGAGTATAAGTTACAGAATGAGACATGAGTTTTGATTGCAGAGATTCAAATCTGTGAGGAGAAGACGATGCGTATCCAGGCGGAGTGCGAGCGCATAGCGGGCGAGCGCGCGGCCTGCGCACGCTGCGCGGCCGCCTCGAGGTGGCGCAGCGCACGCGCAAGGACGCCACCGAGCGCAACGAGGACGCACAGCGCGCGCACGCCGCGCTCCTGCACGAGTACACTGCTAATCTGAAGGTACTTCTAAAATCTTCTTAATTAACAAAAGGGATCTCGCCTTAAATTACCACCAGTAACACTTTAAAACCTTCTTTTATTATTGACCGACTTCCCAAAAGAAGGAGGGACTCAAATAGTCTGTATGTTTTTTTATTACAGTTTTTGTTTAATACGTGGTTTTTTATAGTTGTAATTAACGTGATAGTTATTTGATTCAAGTTTGTTATAAAAAAAGAAAAAACTTTAATTTGTGAGCGCTGTGTATGCTTGTTATCTGTATGTTCTTTTGCTTTTTTGTTTTTTATTGTCTGTAGACAATCAAAAATTACAACAACAATTACAACAAAAATCACAACCAAATTAATACACTACAGTGTATTAATTTGGTTGTGAACTTTGAACATACAATCGGAGTACCTTTGTAATAAATAAGTAGGCTGAATTATGACGTCATCGGCGTCTTACAGACCAACTGGATCTAATTTTGGACCATTTTTACTCATACACGTTTCGTAATTTTAACTTTATCATGCAAATGAGTGTTTTAACACTTTTATTTACCATATGCTGTACCCTTAATTAACTATTTCTCAAATCAATTTATCAAGCCAAACATTCAGTGTCTGTACGCAGGTTGTAGTGATTTCTTTTTCCAGGATGCAGAATCAGAAATAATCGAGTTAGAGGAGGATATAGAGTCTCTTGAACAAGAGAAAATAAACCTGACGCAGGAGTTGGATAGAGTTCAGAGAGAGGCTTTGATCTGGCAGA